AAGAGAAGAGAAGAGAAGAGAAGAGAAGAGAAGAGAAGAGAAGAGAATCCTACAGAAATACAGGAATAGAATAGCACAGCATAGCAAAGATAATGGAATAAAGAATAGAATAGAATAGAATAGAATAGAATAGAATAGAATAGAATAGAATAGAATAGAAATACAGGAGTAGAATACCATAGCATAGATAATGGAATAAAGAATAGAATAGAACAGAACAGAATAGTATATAGAGAACTGGAAGGGACCTTGGAGGTCTTCTAGTCCAGCCCCATGTTCAAGGAGGAGAACCTATACCGTGTCAGACAAGTGACTGTCTAGCTTCTTTAAATTCTGGGCATTGAAGTCCACCCATCTTGAAGTTCCCAAGGCTGAGAAACACTGGCCAGGCTGGGGAATTCTGGGAGTTGAAGTCATTTTCAAGTCGCTCCGTGTGGCAAACCTTGTCTTAGAAAACGCTTCCCTTGAGGGGGAGGTCACCAGCTAACACCCCCTCCCCTTCCTGGGGGCCTGCTTGCCCCCAACCCTCAGGAGATTTTGCAAGGTGGAGATCTTGGTGGAGATCTTAACGTTGACCACTAGGAGGTCTGAGTTAATCAGCGCCTGCGGATGTTACTCATCGATTTTATATTTAAAGTTCTTTTTATCGGCCATTTAAGTTGCATTTGTTGAGGCTGTAAGACCGGATGGTATATAAAGTTCAAATGCAATAAACAAAATTACGTTAAAAACTTTGGCTGGCGCAAACTACGCACAACGTCGTAGTTGGTACAACCCCAGTGCAGTTAAAGATAGGGCAGAAAACACCAATACGACTGGAATTGCAATCATTTGACTAACGGATGCTCTGTTTAATTTAATTAAATTTATTGACTCAATGTACATTCCGCCCATCTCATTATTTGCAACTCTGGGCATCGTACCATGTTAGAAATACCGTAATGACATAATGAAAACATTTAAATGTCGAGCAGCAAATTAATATCAATTTAATTTTATTGGGCCAACCCAAAGAAAGAATGGAGTCCTAAAAATGGTGCGAACCAGGTACGTGTGGATCTGGCCCATCCTATGAGTTGCCGTGGGTTGAAATTTGATCCATCAAGAGGTTTTTTTATTAATCCAAACTCACCAATGTTTGCAATTCAGCCCCATTCCAGTGTTCTGATTTTAATAGATAGATTGATAGAATTCTTTTATTGGCCAAGGGTGATTGGACACACAAGGAATTTGTCTTTGGTGCAAATGCTCTCAGTGTGCATAAAAAAGAGACATTCGCCAAGAGTCAAGGATCATAAAATCCAACACTTAATGATAGTCATAGGGTACAATAATAATAGAATAGAATCATAATAGAATAGAATAGAATTCTTTTATTGGCCAATGTGATTGGACACACAAGGAATTTGTCTTTGGTGCAAATGCTCTCAGTGTACATAAAAGAAAAGATACATTTGTCAAGAGTCAAGAATCATCAGGTCCAACACTTAATGATAGTCAGAGGGTACAATAAGCAATCAAATCATATTAGGAAAACAGTCAATATAAATCGTAAGGATACAAGCGAGAAAGTTACAGCCATACAGTCGCACGTGAGACGGGATGAATGATAAGGAGTGATGAGAAGATTAACAGTAATAGTAGTGCAGACTTTGTAAATAGCTGAACAGGGTTGAGGGAATTATTTATAATTAATAATTCATGCTTTGTGGTTTTCATGCTTTGATTATTGTGGAGTCCTCGGTGCTCTTGGGGTACTTGGTTGCTTTCCTGGAGACATTTCACAACCCAATTGGGTAACATCATCAGTGCAAGGAGGGAATGAGGTTTGCAGAAAGGAGGAAGAGGAGAAGGAGGAAGAGGAGGAGGACTGTGGGGTCCTTGGTGCTCTCTGGGCTTGGTTATTTTCTTGCAGATGTGTCATGACCCAACTAGGGAACATCATCAGTACTAGAAGGGAGGCGGGTTTAGACTTGTTCTGTCTCCCTTCTAGGACTGATGATGTTCCCTAGTTGGGTCACAAAACGCCTTGCAAGTAAACAAGCCAGGACCCCGCAGTTCAACCCTGGACTCTTCTACGGGTGCTTGGATGGTTTTAGATTGTGTTTTATGACACTGTAAGTCACCGTGAATTGCTTGACAAGTGAGAAGGCTGACAGATAAATTTACTAAATAATAAAATAAATGCCTGTTCCTCCCTCCCTTTTCTCTCCTCCTCCTCCCTTTTCTCCTCCTCCTCTTCTTCCTTCTCCTATTTCTCCTTCTCTCCCTCCCTTCTCCTTCTCCTCCTCTTCCTCCTCCCCCTTCCCTTTCTCCTCCTCCCTCCCTCCCTCCCTTTCCCCTCCTCATCCTCTTTCCCCTCTTCTTCCTTCTCCTACTTCCCCTTCTCTCCCTTTCTTCTCCCCCTCCCCTCTTCCCTTTCTCCTCCTCCTTCTCCCTTCCTTCTTCCCTCCCCCACGGCAGGACCCCCAATCTCTGGATGCCGCTGTGCAGAACACCTTGTCAGGGCTCTTCCCTCCCTTCGAGGTCACAGCTCCCACGGTGCTGAGCCAGCTCTTCCGGGTCCTGGAGTCCAAGTACCACGGGGATGGGCTCTGCTGCCTCCTGGACTTCCTCATCCCTCTGAAGCGTCTCCTGGAGCACATCCGACAAGCTGCCTGCGTAAGTACAGAAGGAAAATCCCCAGGCCTGGGATGTCTCTCTGTCTCTCATTCTCTCTCTCTGTCTCTCATTCTCTCTCTCTGAT